AGAGCAATTGAATGAGAATTTGAATATTTTGGAAAATTTGTTCTTTTAACATTCTTCATTAGCTTTTTTTAAATAAAAGTTTGGTTTGAAGCAAACTTTTATGATTGACATTTTTTCTTAGTTTTTTTTTTTTTTTTAATTCTTTCATTTTTTATATGACACACAAATTTTTTTAAAGAAAATGTTATTTTATTAAAATGCCTAACATTATTTGCTAATTGTAGATAGCATATTGATCAACAATTTGTTTCATAAAATGATTTGAGTTATTCATAATTTGTGATTACTTTATTATATCAATGATTTGAGTTATTCATAATTTGTGATTACTTTATTATATCAATGATTTGAGTTATTCATAATTTGTGATTACTTTATTATATCAATGATTTGAGTTATTCATAATTTGTAATTACTTTATTATACCAATGATTTGAGTTATTCATAATTTGTAATTACTTTGTTATACCAATGATTTAAGTTATTCATAATTTTTAATTACTTTAATATATCAACTGATTATAACTATTATTGCTTTATTAATTATGATTATTTAGTTTTAACTTAAATGTATAGAAATAAGTAATTGCTATAAATTTATTTGTTATGCATTTTAAATTAATTAATATTATATTCTCATTAATTGTTAATAGTTAACATTTTATTAATTGTTAGTGATTTATATATTTTGACGGTTTATAAGTCTTATGAATAATAAATTCATTTTGATTAACATAAATTACGGGAAAAGATATCTAATCAGCATAGGAAATAGGAAGGAATGAATGGAAGCCAATAATGATTGATCAATTGATTGATTGATCGATTAGATAGATTATTGATTGGAACGAGTTCTTCATATTCTATACCAAACAATCAAATAATTATTTGATTAATAATTTATTGACATCATTAATTCTAATTAGTGTGTCATTTACATTTAATTCTAAGATCAGCATTCATTGATTGCCAAAAATAATATTCTAATTCTAGCTGTTTTCAATTTTAAAATTTTTTCAAATATAACAGTATTTTCATTTATTAGCTAAATACAATTTGGAAGTAATTAAATGGTTATTTAATTTCTATTATATTAAGAAAAAAGTGTAAAATACTTTTTATTAATTACAGGTCAAAGTAAGCAATAAAATTTTTAATATTTTTTGTTTTTTTTTTTTTTTTAAATCCATGATCTGTTCATATTGAAATAATTAAAAAATTTTCTTATTCTGCATTTTCAAAATTTTTAATTATTTAGTTTGGTTAAATAATGATTTGCATAGTTTTGGTGACACTTTTGACATTATACATATTTGGAATTGAAATGGTTCCAGCAACGAATTGCCATTTTTCTCGACCTAATCAAATTAGCCCATCGGGTTGGGTTGATCTGATTGATAAATGTAAGGAAGAATCAAACGATACGATTTGTTTTTCAGGCGTAAGTATATATATATATATATATATATATATAATAATCTAAAAAATTTATGAAAGAAATTAATAAATTTAAAACGAAAAATTATGTAAATTTAAATGCAAATATAAATTTCCCATTTTTTATTTTTCTTTTTTTTTAATATAAAGATTTATGGAAAATTTTTTTATTTAAAATTTAGCTTAGATAATATAAAGTTCAAAAAAAAAAAAAAAAGAAAAAATTGTAAAATTCATTAATCATAAGAAATTGAATAAAATTTATCCATTTGTTTATGTATTATTTTTATTAAAGCTCAATTTATTATGTCATATTTTTATAGATATTTGCTTATTTGTTATCAAAATTATTTGCTCAAATTATTGATTAAAAATTTTATTTAAAAAAAAAAAATTGCAAAATTTATTTTTATAAATTAATTAAAATTTATAAGGAACTGAATAAAATTTATTCATTTGTTTATGTATTTTTTTTTTTTTTTACTTTTTGTTTAAGTTAAATTTATTCTTTCATACTTTTTGCAAATATTTTTCTAATTGTTATTAAAATTATTCTCTAAATTTTTGATTAAAAATTTAAATTTTTAATTTTTAGTATAATCCACGTGTCGCATATTATCACGAAGCAGTTGGTTGGTGGCGAGTACTGCACAGTGAGAATGAATGCTTTACCAAACAATATGTCAGTGCTTTTTTTTTTATAAATTTTAGTTTAAAATTACACAATTCATTATTGATCATATTTTATAATTAAATGAAAATTTAGATAATTAATTTAGTTATATAATTTAACATAATTCAAACTTATTCAATAATTTTTCACTAATTTAACTATATATTTTAACATAATTCAAATTTATTCAATAATTTTTCACTAATTTAACTATATATTTTAACATAATTCAAATTTATTCAACAATTTTTTACTAATTTAATTTATTAAAATATATAATTCAAATTTATTCAATAATTTTTACTAATTTAATTTATTAAAATATATAATTCAAATTTATTCAATAATTTTTTACAAATTTATTCAATAATTTTCAGTTGCGTAAAAAATTGGCTTGTAAAAGTGATCAAGAAACACCAGAAGAAGGTTGTTATCGAGATAAAACACATCACAAGAATTTTTTCCTTTGTTGGTGTACGGGGTCAAAGTGCAATACGAGGCAAAAGATAACAGAAATTTACAAGAAAAATAATACATTATTTGTTATTGGTGGTGATTGCAAACCATTTGAATTTTGATTGAAATTTTCAAATCTGAAACAAAATTTATTAAATTATTTATTTGAATGAAAAAAATTTGTAATTTAAAATTATTCAATTAAAAATTTAAATTAAATCTGTTTGCTAGTTGAAATATTTTAATGTATAAACATTGAAACTGTGTATAAAATTGTAAATTTTTTGTAATACCTAAAAAAATTCTTTGTTTAACACAATGTGCAATTTGAATGAATTTTAATTCATTTCTAAATTAGTATTTATTAATTCATTAAAAAATTGAACAAAACTTTCTTTTCTCAAAATGAAATATATTTTATTTAATTAACAAATTTTTTAATAAAAATCAAAATTTTTTGATTTTTCTTTTTTAATGTTTTTTGATCAAATTTTCGATATATAATGGAATTAAAAAAAAAAAAAAAAGTATGTATATATAATTCTTTACTTTCAATCTTTTTTTTTTAATATTTTAGTTTGTGAATTTTTTAAATAATAAATAACTTTTTGGACAATTTGCTTTCCCAAATTTAAATTTACCAAATTATTTATTAATTTAATCAAATATTTTCATTTCTCCTTTTTACCTTTTATTAACCACTTCTTTCGTTCACCGTTTCACAGGACGTAGCATTAATTTATATTTTAAAGAAGGCAAACAAAAAATACATAAAATCAATTATTTGCTTTTTTAATTAATATTTTAAATAATGCCTTTTTATTTTACATTAATTTATCTTTTAGACGAGACAAACATAAATTAAATAATAATTAGAATTATGATGCTTCAATAATCGTTAATAGTTAAATTAATTCAATAATTCATTCATTTAATTAAATTTATATTTGAAATTGAATAGAAAAAAAAAAAAGAAATTTTAATGTAACTTTTTTCTTTTATTGCAAAAAAAAGAGCAAAAAAATGAATAAAATTGTAAGACAAAACATTTTCAATCGAAATAGAAATGAAATGATTCATCGCTTCAAATTTTATTTTTTTATTTTTTTTTCATAGAATATTTTTTAATTTTAATCATAAATATATATATTTTATACTATCTATAATGCTTAGTTTTATTCATCATTAAATTCAACAAAAAAATAAATTTTAAAAAGTAAAAAAGAAAAAAAAAAATAAAACGAATGAATCAATGCGAACTGAATGATTTTAACAGAAAGTTTTTCGTTGATTTCTGATAGCACTATGAGAAAAATATTTAAAAATATTTAATTTTTCTCATTGTCATATTTCAATTCTTACATTCATTCATTTTTGCTTTTCATTTTCATTTTTTTTTTGTGTTTTTTTTGTGTTTTTTTTTAGCCTAAAATTTTTATTTTTTTTTTTGTTTTTGTCTGAACTTTATTTAAGAAATTTATGTTTTTAACATAGTCTTTAACAAGCAGTAAATGCTTATTGCTTTGTCATTTTTTTTTTCTTTTTAATAAAATGAGAGAAATTAGCAAAAAGGAATTTATTTGTTTGTATTTTTTTTCAAAACGAAAAAAAAAATTATTTTCTTTTTCTTTCTCATTTTTTTGTTTTATTTTGGTGGTGAAGAAAAAAAAGTTGAAATTGCTTAGGTATTAAATGAATTAATGATATAATTAAATTTTAAATTTTTGTTTTAATCAATTAATCAATTTTTTTTAATCAGCTAATTTTGTGTTTATTTTACAATGATGCATTAAATGATTTTGTCTTTTTCTTCTTTTTTTAATGATTGGATAATATTATGAATTTTATTTATTAAATTTAAATTAAATTAAATTTATTTTATTAGCATTATGAATTATTATTGTTACAATTTATTTCAATCGCTTTTTTCAATATGACTAAGCTTAATTTGAGCTAAATATTCAAATTATTTGTCATCATATAGTAACTTATTTTTTTAAAAAAAAAGCAAAAAAACAAAAAAGCCTTTTCGATGTTCAATTTTTTCTTTTAATAAAATTATTTTAAACAAATATTTTACATAGAAATAAATTATCGTTATTTTCTATGTGTTAATGAATTAATCAATTTCGTTTTTTTATAGTATATTAAATTAGTTTTATAGTATTTAATAATTTAATTTCTAATATATTTCATATATTAATCGATCGACCGTAACTAAAAAACGAAATTGTTGATAATAATAAATTGCTAATAAGTCTAAATATTATTAGACTTATTATAGGACATAGTATTGTGATATTTAAATGGAAATATAAATTTTAATTAAATTATTGAATTTAGGTGAAATATGGGAATAATGAATAATTCAATTATTTATATGATACTATTACTATTTATTAGTATCACTTATACTCTATCATTATACTGTTATATGGTACATTGGGATGCATATTCATCATTTACGGAAAAAGTTTATAAATGCAATGATAACGAAGAATTTTGTGCATCTTTGGTACTTTTATTTCTTTTTATAATTTTAATTTTAGTAATCAAACTTAACAATTAAAAATTAAGTAAGCATTATATATGGAATTAATATTTAATAAATTTTATTATTATTAAATTTAGATTAACATTAATACAATTAATTTGTTAAATTTTTTTTAGAAGTATATTTAAATTTTTTGTATTTAAAGATTAATGGAAAATGAATAAATAAATAAATTTGAAAAAAAAAAAAAAAGAAACAGATAGATCAATGTTACATATATAATTTATGTAAATTATAAAAAATTGATTTGAAAAAAAGTTTTTACTTACTTATTTTTTTCTCTTCTTTTTTAAATAAAGAATTATATTCTTTGTAGTATGATCGAGGTGCTGAAACTTGGTATCTTCGAGCAATACCATTGGATAAGAAATGTTATTCTACCGCTGAGGTATAATTAATCATATTCATTATTTAAATTTAAATTATTATACGTATCACAAAACTTTTATATTACAACATTAGAAATGAATTGATTGATTAAAAAGTAAAAGAAATAGATCAACAATATTCGAAAAAAAAAAAAAAAAAAACATTGATCAAAGATATTTGAGTATCACATATTTTATGCAAATTACATAAAATTAACATTATTTTCCATAGAATTATCATATTTTTATAAAATTAAAAATTACTATAATTATTTTTTACAATATTAATTAAATAAAAATTTGATTTTACAAACAAATAAAAAAAAGAAAAAAAAAATGATATATTTTCAGTTGAAAAGTCGAATAAACTGTAGCATAGATACATTCAATGAAGGTTGTTTCATGGATCCACGTTATAATACCTACGAACGTAGTACGTCAAAATTACCGGTTTGCATTTGCAAAGGTGATTATTGTAATACGCAGGAAAAAATTGAAAATATTTGGTTGGAACAAAATATTTACAAATTTCATGATCCTGAAAATTGTGATGAGAAATCGAGCAGAAAAGATTCAATTATGGAAGCTTTAACATCTGATAGTAGTATAGCATTAACTAAAATTATTACCACAACCAAATTATCAAAATCGAATCAGGAAAAAACAACAAGAGCTACCAAAAAGATGAAATTAACAACAACAACAACAACAACAACAACAACAACAACAACAACTACTACTACTACAGAAATGTCGGAATCAAGTTCAGAAGCAATAACAACTGAAGAAAAGTTAGAATTATACGTTGAAACAACAAAAAATGCTGCAGAAATGTTGGGATCAAGCACTGAAGCAACAATAATCACTACAGAATCAGAATCAACCATAGAATCAACAACAACTGGTACAGAATCAGAATCAGAATCAACCATAGAATCAACTACGACTGCTACAGAATTGGAATCAGAATCAACCACAGAATCAGCAACAACTGGTACACAATCAGGATCAATCACAGAATCAACAACAACTGGTACAGAATTGGAATCAGAATCAACCACAGAATCAACTACGACTGCTACAGAATCAGAATCAACTACGACTGCTACAGAATCAGAATCAGATACAACTATAACAGCAACAACTGCAAGAAATTTATCAGAAACAAGTGGGATGAGAACACTAACTACTAATGATGGTCATGATGCAACAATAAATGGTACAGAAATTACAGAACTTATTTTCAAAAAAGCATAACCTACCTGAAAATGTTAATTGGAATGAGATTAGAAAAGTATTCCAAACTGTTTCGTTTTCTTTTTTTCTCTCGCTCCCTCTCTCTCTCTCTCCCAAATATCATCTTGATTATAATAAATCTTAGCTACAATTATTATTGGTAAAAAAATAAAAAAGCTTAAAGTAAGATTAAAAATAATTTCAAAATCATTTTCAGTTTGGAAAATAAAAAAAAAAAAAAAATGCAAACTTACTATGTTGTTGAAAAGTTTAATATTGTCTTTATAATCACTTTTTTTTTTTTTTTTTTTTAAAAAAAAGCAAATAAAGAAATAAATAATCTGTGAATTTTTTTGATATACATTGTATTCAAATCAAGAAATGACTAATTGATCAATAAAAATTAAAATCTTTGAAATATATTAAAATGTGAATTTAATTCATTTGAATTCACTCAACACAGTTCATCAACTTTATTAACTTTACTAATGATATTTGTGCAAAGAAAAGAAAAGTAAATATAATGAAAAGTATAAATTAAGAAGAAAAAGTTTTATCAAAAAAAAAAAGTTTTAAGCTTTTAATTTAATACTTTTTATGCTTTAGCATCGATTACACTGATAATTATGACTAATTTTTTTTTTTGCATACAAATTGATTTTCTCCTTGTTTATTATCAGCTGATATGTTATCATTAATATCTTTAATATCTTTCTTTTTCTAACAAATAATTTAGTCATTTTGGGAGTGGAAAAGTTAAAATTAATTAATGAATTTTTCAATCTACCATTGTCATTTTGATAAATTTACAGGAAAAACAATTTTTAACAAATAGCATTTCATGTTTGATTAATTAATATAGAATATTAATTCCATTAATATTACTATTCCTAGTTTTAATCATTTCAAATAACAATAATAATTAGCATAATTAGATCTGTAATTACCATTAATGCAACTATATAATAAATATTGATAGTTAATCCTTATCAGCATTCCTTATCAGTAATTTTAATACAACAATTGGATTGATCAAATTCATTAATTGCTAAACAAATAAACAATAAACATAACCAATTTAGAATGTATTAAAGAAAAATAACTTTTGACAAGAAATATTTAATCAATGATAAAATTTGATAAATTTGATAATGATTTATTACATTCTTACTCACAAAACCCAAGTAATTTACGCAAAAATAAAAATTAGAACAAAATTAATTTCACTTTTTTTAATCAATAATTTAAATTAAAAGATTTAAGAACGATTTTTGTTGATAAATTGAGAAATGTGGGAAAAGAGAAATTTACAAATGAATAAAACACAGTGCAAAAAATGTTTACGAATATTTGATATTAACAAAAGTATTTGAAACTGTTTTTCTTATTCAAAGTTTTTTTTTTTTTTTTATTTACAAACTTTTTGAAATGTTTGTTAATTGCTATGTAGCGTATAAATGCTTGGAAAAAAAATAGGCATTGTTAATATCTTTTATTATTATCATTATTATTAAATTATTATTATCATTGTTGTTATTATTATTAATATTATTTTATTTTTATTATCGCTATTATTAATCACTGTTAATCATTTAGTATTGCTTAAACTTAAATATATCTCAAAAAAAACATTTGCTTACATTAAAGGAAAAAATAAGAGAAAAGGAGAAAAAGCAAGCAATTTAATAATTTCAATTTTTCAAAAGATTATTATCAGTACGCATATATTTTTATTATTATTAAATTTTACAATCAATAATTTTTTTTTATAGTACTCAGAAAAAACACGTTTATAATTTAAATCAGAAAAAAAGGTACCACTTTTAGTTTGTTAAATGTTTATTTTTTTTAACTATAAATTTTTTAACTAAAAATTCAACTATAAAAATTGACCATTTTAATTTTTTAACCTATAAATGTTTGAAAAAATTATGAAAAAACAAAATATTTTGCTTAATTATAATGATAATAATAGGAAAATGATTTGCTAAATATTAATTAATTATACATATATATCAAAAATTGCCAAAATACGAAAAACTTTAATGTAACAATTAAAAAGTCTTACTGCAAATCTCCAAAATCGAAATTGATCTTCATCATTCATTATCAGTTATCAGTAATATTAACACTGTTATCAACATTATCATCAATGTGTTCGTCCTCATCGATATGAAATACATTGGAGAAATACAGGATTTGAATTAGTAACAACTGGTTGACCGAGCTTTTCAAGCAGTTGTTCTTGGTTCATAGTATTTGGAGTGAAAGAATGTATTGCGGTGAATCGATGGCGCAAATGGTTCGTTAAATTGCGTGCAATTGAACAGAGGAAAATAAGTGCAATTACTGCATGACAGGTACCATACACCAAAAACTAAAATTGTAAACTTACAAATTAATTATAGTATCACAATTAATTATTATATGCAAAATATGCGAGATAAAAAGTAAACAAAATTAAAAAAATTAATTTAAAAAAAAAAAAACATTAAATTGGAATAACATAATTAATAATAATACTAATACTAATTTTTTAATAAACAATTCAATAAATAAAGTAACCTGTGACCTAACAGTCATGCCAAAGCCACGTTTATCAACAACGATGGCAGTTAAAAATGCTTGCAAGATAAGTGCCACAAATGAATTGAGACCAAATATTAAGCCATAACTTTCACAAACCATTTTTTTAGCCAAATTCCATCTGTATTAATAATCACTAATTTATAGCTATTCACAATATCATAAATAAATAAATAATCACAATTAGATCTCACAGTTAGTCATCAATTCGATGAATCATTCAGCACATAAACAGAAGCCTTTTCCCATTTCACATTTCAGTGCTAAAACGTGAGGCAATTTATGAGAACCATTGTGACACGTGACCATGATTACAAGTTATACGTGACTGAATTACGGCTATGATACGTGATCATGATTACAAGTTATACGTGACTGAATTAGGGCTATGACACGTGATCATGATTACAAGTTATACGTGACTGAATTAGGGCTATGACACGTGATCATGATTACAAGTTATACGTGACTGAATTAGGGCTATGACACGTGATCATGATTACAAGTTATACGTGACTGAATTACGACACGTAATCATGACTACCAGATGTACGTGGCTGAATTACGATTAGGACACGTAATCATGATTATAAGATATACGTGGCTGAATTACGTAATCATAAGATATGTTGTCGTGACTGATTTATGATTGTCGAAAGTTTCCTCACATCGAATTCTAAAAGGGAAACAACTTTTGCGCCCACGCATTTAACTTATCTTCCTGAAAAACAGAAGAAAGAAACGTACTGCGCAATTGTTATCATTACTTGATAGAGTGTGCGGTAGCAAATGTAACAGATATACATTACGTAAATCGTTTTGGCTTTACTGAAAAGTAGTAGTAAAGCGCAATCAACGCTTGAAATTAGTACCAAAGCCGCCTCGCCCCATTTGTCCCAATCAATCGATATCATATTCATCAACATTATTGCGATCGCAGCTGCAACAAAATAAATCTACACGAAATCTCAATTATCCGAGTATTGCAACTTCATTCATCTGTGACATTCCATTTGCGCCCTTTTTGGAACTACTAAATTCATTAATTAGTGAGAGCACATAGAGAAAACAATAAAATGTACGAATCAAAAAGTTATCAGTTAGAAATACCCAAAATTGGTAATGGGCAAAGATAAGCTATAAAAGTTGTATTAAAAAGAAAAAAAAAAAAACTACTTGGCTTATTTCAATAATTCTTTGATTAAAAATTTTAAATGCTTACCGCAAGCTGTGTAAGTTGCTTCAGCGAAGCCATTAAATGTTGTCTCCTCATTTTGCACTTCGCCCCATAATGTTTGTGAATAAGCACTTATCTAAATTTGAATATAAATTGATAAAGTAAATATTGGACTAAATAATTAAGAAATAAAAATATAAAATATACAAATTTTGTTTGTTATTTTAAGAAATTATTTTGAATATCAATGGCATAAACATTAACTTAATAAGGCATAATAATAGATTTTATTAATTTATTTATTTATATACTAAATTTGCTTATTTTAAAGTAATTGAATTTATGTTCTCTTTATAGGACAAATTGAGCTTTGATATCTGTCGAAGAGACAATATTCCAAAGTAAATGTCAAAGGTCAAAATGATATATTTTACCTGTAAGGACATACATGTTGTCATTGCCCACCAAAGTGACCATTTTCTTACAAACCCAACCCCATAAATTTGTTTTGTATTGTACCATAACTTTCCAACTCGAAATTTTACATACTCTGTATAGGTTGTTGGCTCATTCAGTGTTTCAATATCTTAAAATTCAATTTTAAATTTTAAATAAAATATCTAACATTTATATATAATTTCAACACCAATTTTTTTTCTTTTGAATCATTGATTACTAACTAAGTAATTAATGAGATTGCGCTAAATAGAGCATTTTTTTTTTTTTATAAATTAAATTAGATATCATTTGATATTTTCTATGTGCAACTATTTCTAGAATGATCGAAGAAAAATTATTATTATTAATTATTATTATTGTTGTTATTATTGTTATCAATATTTTTCTTTTATTATTAATATTACTAAAATGAATATAATGTTTGTCAAATTTTTAGATATTATCAAAACATTTTGTTTTGTTTCAAAAATTTAAAAAAAAAAAAAAAAAAAAAAAAAAACAAATAAATAAATAATTTGAAATGAAAAAGTTGAAAAAGAGTAAAACTACCTGTTGTAATTTTAATTCGTTCAATTAATGATTTCCATTGTATTCGTGGAAAGCATAAACCAAAAATAAATACTAAAATAGGTGATATAAGTGAAATTTGATTAACAGTTAAATAAGTACCAATACCAGTTATTACGATTGTTTGACTTAGCAAATAGCCAAATGTACGGCCAGCCATTGTTGATGCTCGTGTCCATGATGTTAAACTTAAATGTAATTAATTCAAATAGAACATTTAATTAAAATAATTTTTGAAAAAAGAAAATTTAAAAAATTAGAATTTGAATTAACAAAAAAAAAAAATTTGTTAAAATCTTTTTTTTTTTCTTTGTTTTTTGTAGGAAAAAAAAAGGTTAGAAATGAAATAATGAAATAATTAAATAAATATTAACCGTTTATATTCATTTTTTCTAACTTTAGCATAAATATATGAGTAAAATGCAATTTCAGCTGCAGATGCAATTCCATAAAAAGACATTCCGATTTGTTGTAGGAATATTCCGGAACCAAATACCAATGTAATTCTGCAATATTTTCCTTTTTATCACTATTGCAATGATAATTTGATTACAATATTTTGCAATTAAATTTATCATTTTAATTAAATTTTAGGAGAAAAAAAAAGTCAGAAAAATATTGTTTTTGTTTTAAATTTAGTAATATTTCAGTTGCTATGAATGTTAAATGCAAACAGGGAATTTAATTATAATATTTTGTAAATAATTTATTGCTATAATTAAGTTTCAATTAAAAAAATTTTTTTAAAACATATCTTAACTGAAATCAAATTTTTTTTTTTTTTTTTTGGAGTTTTTTTAATTGCATTTATAATTTATTTATAATATTCTAACTGAGATAAATATTAGATAAGTTTTAAATTGTTTAAATTTTTTTTTTTACCAAAAAATAATGTTTAAATTTACAAGAAAAAAAGAATGCATCGATACAAGGATATGTTACAATAATTTTTTGATTATATTATTTAGTAAAAAAAAAAAAAAAAATACCTGAAAACCATATAACCAATACTTTCTAAAATTAAAATAGGTTTGTAAAGGAGTAAATCAGTTAATAAAAATATTGGAATAAGAGTAAGCAAATAACTGTATGTCCAATATGGATAAATCTAAAATTAATTTTGTAATGCACTTAATTATATTTGTATAAAATGGTTAATTGAATTAAGCCAATAAATATAAATTAATTAATTAATGAGTAAACAAGTTTAATCTTTTAAACTAATTTTGTAATCTAAACGAGTAATTATGAATCAGGTTAGTGTTATTATTATTATTATTATTTAAACTTTTTTTCTTTGGTAATTGTTAAATTTGAAATTAATCTTTCAAATTTGTTTACCTGATTTTATTTTTACTCTTTTTGCACTTTCCAATTGTACATTACATAATTGAACGATGATGAAAAAAAAAATGTCACATCATTTCAAAAAATATTATTTAAAAAACATCCTTTGAACTTTATTTAATGGAAACGATCATTTATTACTGATCAATGAAACAATTAGTTATTTCTGATCAAATAATATCCATTACTTAATTACTTACAAAAATTCTATCATTACATATTTTATTGTACTAGAAAAAAAAAAAAAAAAAAACAAAGAAATGAAAAAATCAATAATGACATACTTCACCATTGAGTTGTTTTTCGGTTAGATTTAAAAAATCAGTTTGATATTTGAATAAAAATGGTTCACCAGGTTTGAAATCCTTAAAAAATCCATATAATACTAATAATATAGGAACTATACTCCACGTCATCCTTCCTTGCAATGTTATTTTAATTCCTGAAAGTTTTTCTTTATTAATTTTAAACGAAAAAAAAAAAAGAAAAAAATTTATGAGCAATGCACTTACGTATATTTTACTACGTATATTATTCACGTAACACATGTTATACTAGACGTACTACGTAGATTTATGATATATTAATATGTTTCTACGTGGATTTATGATATATTTATACGTTTCTACGTGGATTTATGATATATTTATACGTTTCTACGTGGATTTATGATATATTTATACGTTTCTACGTGGATTTATGATATATTTATACGTTTCTACGTGGATTTATGATATATTTATACGTTTCTACGTGGATTTATGATATATTTATACGTTTCTACGTGGATTTATGATATATTTATACGTTTCTACGTGGATTTATGATATATTTATACGTTTCTACGTGGATTTATGATATATTTATACGTTTCTACGTGGATTTATGATATATTTATACGTTTCTACGTGGATTTATGATATATTTATATGTTTCTACGTGGATTTATGATATATTTATACGTTTCTACGTGGATTTATGATATATTTATATGTTTCTAAAGTAATATTACTACAACTGAAAACTATTAAATGATAAATAATCAATAAATGAATCATTGAAAGAAAACATAAAATAGGTTAAAGAATTTTCGAAACGATAGTAATAAAAATTTATTTAAAAATTGTATACATTCCAAAATTAACACCAAATAAAGAAGAATGAATTAATATTTCAAAAAAAAAAAAATTTTTTTTTTTTAAATTATAAAATTACATCTAATTTATCGTCGTATATATATTTATGTATTATAAGCAAACATTTTTCATTTCAATAAATAAACATTATACAAGCATAAATTTAAATAATTTTTTTAGATAAAAATAAATGAATTTATTTAGGCAAATTATTCACACGCTTTAATGGATAGGAATGAAAGATAGAATTAATTAAAATTAATCAAATATTTGTTAAACACATGTGAAAATCATTTATGATTCATCATCATAGGTGAAATAATTGAAAAGCATATAATTTAATATATAAAATAAAAAGAAAAATATTTATCAAAAAAAAAAAAAACTAATAAATAAATAATAGCATTGATTTTTGTTTACTTGTTTATTTGTTTGTTATTATTATAAAAGTTAAATAATATTTCTTGAAGAGTATACCAACAAAAATAAAATGGAATTAATAAAAAATGATTGATACACAATTTACATTCCTTTTTTTTTTCTTTTTTTTTGTTTTATTCAAAAAAAATTTGATGTTTGAATTTTAAAATTTTTAATTAATTTACCTGGAAAAGAAAAAGTATTTTGTAATAAATTACCATTCATTTATTTATTAAATTATTTTTAAATTTGAATTAATAAAAAAAAAAAAAAAAAGAAAGGAAGATGAAAGTCTTACAATCAGAAGAATGAATGAAGCAAATTGTTCACAAATATTTATTTTGTACAAAACAAGTTACTAGAAATTGATTACTTTGCAACATTTTGTAAATTAATCAATTTCAAGCTCTCAATAGTTTAAAATTAAACAAATCAGTGATGTAACGAACATTTTAAAATTAAAAAAAAAAAAAAAATTTTTCAAAATTTAAATGAATAAAATTAAAGAAGCAAAGCAATGTGTTAATAATTATAAATTTAATATTACAGAAGAAAAAATTACTTAATTATAGTCAATGATAAATTAATCATTAAAAAGTGTTATCAATTTCTTATGATAATGTAACAATCTAATCAGAGCAAAATAAATTTCATAAAATATTTTTTTTTTTTTGTAAAATAAATTTTGCAATTTCAAAGTTAGTAAATTTCCTTTTTTCTACTAATAAAAAATAATAATAAGTAATATTTATTATTCATAATAATAATAATAAATGCTATAATATACTTTGGCATATTTATGCTTTCAAAAAAAAACTTTGAATTTTTAGCTTATCAAAAAAAGAAAAAAAAAAATAAAAGTATAAGTAAGGAAAAGTAAATGAAGAAAATAAAATAGCAAATGATAACAATGAGAAAAAAAAAAAAGAAAAAAGGTGAGAATTGAAAAGATAATTTAAAGAAATATTTTACTTTTCACCTCTTTATCAATCAATCGTACTATTTGCAAAGTAATAAATAGTTCGAACAAAAAAGAAAAGAAAAGTCAATAATAACAAATTTCAAAAAATTTTTTGAAGTCATAAGAAAGGAACTCAAAAAAAGAAAAAAAAAAAAGTTTAGAAAAGCAAAAAAAAAAAAAAAAAAAAAAGGAAAATGAAATATTTTACGATAAAGCAAAATTATATATTTTTTAGTTTCTTATTCAAATACTTTTCTTTTTTTTTTTACCTTTCTTTTTTCATTTCTTTTTTTCAATATTTGATTTCTTATATAAATTTTTATTTGCTATTAGTAATATAATGATAGCAGTAATAACAATTGCTAACAATGTATTTTATATCTTTTTCATTTGTAATTTTATAATTTAATATTACTTTTTTTTTTTTTTTGATATGTAATCAAATCATTGATTTGTACAATTTTTGATCTAAAATTTATTGCTTTTCGTCTTTTTTCTTTTCTTTACTTTTACAAATTGATTTATTGCTGCACAGTTCATTTCGAGTAATTTTGAACAAATTAATTTCTAATTTAAAAAGAAAAAGAAAAAAAAAAACAGAATGTAGGCTTTAAACTAAAAACATTAGTTAAACTCTCGTACGAGTAATTAATTCATAGTTAATTAATTTGTTCAATCTTTTAATGAAAAAAAATTTTTTCAAATTTCACTTCTTTAATTTTACTTTCTTTCTTTTTTTTTTTTCTTCCTCTACAATTTATGCGTAATTTTGATTTAAATTTTGATTATTTCGCTAATATTACAATAGTAAAGTTAATTAAAACGTTTTGATTCCATTTTATGCTAATTAAATAAATAAAAATTTTAATGTTCTAAATAATATATATTTTTTTGAGGATTCATTTTTAAATGATAAAAATAGAATTTATAAATTGATTTATAAGAAAAAAAAAAAAACTTGAAATTATTCTAAAAAGTTATACAGAAATAAGTAAACTTAGAGTTTAAAGTACATAAATCTTCAAAAAATGTGTAAAAATCATTTGCCACAATTTTTATTAAACAAAGAAAAAAATCAAATAAATATTTTATTTAATGAATTATTTAAATATTTAATTGATTGGTACTATGTTAATGGTACCTAATGGTACTTAATGATACCATTTTTTCCTTTTTTTTTCGAATTAAAGATTTAAAATTTCATGTTAAATTTTAATGAACCATTTATATTGAATTTATACTGAAAGTTTCAACAAATTTAAGGTTTCAAATTTTTTGCAGCAATTTGAAAATGAAAAAGTTTGTTCCAATAACACATTTTTTAATTTACACTGTTTATATGCTCAAAAAGATGTATTTCTTTCAAATTCATATAAATAATAGCTAATAAATATTGTGAATAAAAAGAAAACAAAACGAACAATTGCATAGCAATAATAATAATTTTTAAAGTTTGTAAAATAACAATAAGAAATTAATAAGAAACAAAAAAAGTTTTAAAACTTTTTTCTTTTCTTAATTCAGAAATTCATTTTCAAAATTAAAAACTGAAAAGATAGTGACGACATTTCGATAACAAACCGAAGAGGAATGATTAATTTATCAGTGTGTCTGCAACAGAAAAATTTTTTGAAAAAAAAAAAAAAAAAACATATCAGTGTTATCATTATCATGATTATTCTTATCATCACTCTCATTGCACTATTATAATCACTTGCAATTGGTAAGTGAAATAAAATGATTGTTTCTGCACATATACAATTATTGTTATCATCATTATCATTATCATTATTATCGCTAAATCGTTAAGATTATAATCATTGCTGTTATCATTATCGTTATCATCGTTTGCGAATAAAAAATTAGGTAAGGCAATCATTTTAACATTGCTAATATCAGATTATCATTCTTATCAGGTTTGATTATCTAAAACTACTTACTTCGCAGTGTCATCCATATTTCCATCCATAAAATTGACTTTTTTGGAAGGTTTATTTTTTTTTTAAAACAGTATCAGCAGTTTAATCAACAAAATGTGTGATACTGAATCGATGATTCATTCAATTGTGTGCAATTGAACAGAGCAAAATAAAAGTAATTACTGCATGACAGATGCCAAAAACTGAAATTGTAAACTTTGTTTGAATGACAGTTTAAAATTAATTATAGTATAACAATTAAAAAAATTAATTTAAAAAAAAAACATTAAATTGGAATAACATAATTAATAATAATACTAATACTAATTTTTTAATAAACAATTCAATAAATAAAGTAACCTGTGACCTAACAGTCATGCCAAAGCCACGTTTATCAACAACGATGGCAGTTAAAAATGCTTGCAAGATAAGTGCCACAAATGAATTGAGACCAAATATTAAGCCATAACTTTCACAAACCATTTTTTTAGCCAAATTCCATCTGTATTAATAATCACTAATTTATAGCTATTCACAATATCATAAATAAATAAATAATCACAATTAGATCTCACAGTTAGTCATCAATTCGATGAATCATTCAGCACATAAACAGAAGCCTTTTCCCATTTCACATTTCAGTGCTAAAACGTGAGGCAATTTATGAGAACCATTGTGACACGTGACCATGATTACAAGTTATATGTGACTGAATTACGGCTATGATACGTGATCATGATTACAAGTTATACGTGGCTGAATTACGGCTATGACACGTGATCATGATTACAAGTTATACGTGACTGAATTACGACACGTAATCATGACTACCAGATGTACGTGGCTGAATTACGATTAGGACACGTAATCATGATTATAAGATATACGTGGCTGAATTACGTAATCATAAGATATGTTGTCGTGACTGATTTATGATTGTCGAAAGTTTCCTCACATCGAATTCTAAAAGGGAAATAACT